ATTAATAAATTATTATTTTATTTAAAAAATACTAAATACAATTAAATTTTCCAGGCAAATTTGCCTGGAATATGGTTTAAGGGATAATAAGCAATAATTATACTTGCAGCTGAGTAAATGATCTATATAATAGGTATTAATTTTACTTTATAATCACAGTATTTTGTATTACTCTAGGGGTTAGAAAAGGCAAGTTAAGCACCACTCTATTAGTATAGCCTAACCTCAATATAATGAAGCTCTGAAGCTAAGATGTTTGATTCGATATATCAAGGCTTAGATATCTTACTATAATGAATCTATAATTTCAGCTAAAAAAATTTTTTATTATAGTAGCTGATTTGGTTTATTGAGGTTCATTATATCGAGGTTATACTGTAGCTTCATATTCTGAAATTATCAGGCTAATCTAGATGAGTTTAATGAGCAGCCAGGAATCTGCTTCTACCTCTCCTTGTTTTTAAAGTGAAAGTTGAAGGTAACTAGGCTAAGGTTAATAGTCAGATGGGTAGTCTTAGACTAAGAGAAATGGAAAATTTGATGATTTTTAATTTCACCGATTATAATTGTTATATTCTCAAGGTGGATAAGATAGTTAATACGAATGAAACTATTTAAAGGGACATTATAAATGGTAAATAAGTATTTATATAAACTTGATCTGTTGATTTAATGCTACCACTGACTAATAAATAATCTTTATAGTCACAGATTAAATAATAATATGAATAAATCGATTTGAGAGGTGTTATGTAATGATTATTGGTATTCACAAGCTGGATAGAATGATTATTGCGATGAAACAATTTGAAGGGTGAAATAAGTATTATGTGAACTTGATCTGCTAATTTTTAATACCACTAATTACTAAATAATCTTGATAGTCACAGGCTAATGAAATGATTATTGCAGTTTGCAAAATTATGTGAAATTTGAAGATCATTAAAAAAAAATAATCACTAATTTTTCTGATTACTAATTTCTGATTTCTTCAACATTTTTTTTGACTTTTAGATTAAACAAAATTTGCGTATCTATTATTTTATAAAAATTTTATTATTCTTTATAGAAATAAGGTGCGCATTAAAATATCTAATCAAATTTTTACAAATAAATATGTAAATTTGTCTAATCTAAAAGTCAGAAGAAATTGGAAATCAATAATCAGAAATTAGTGATTACTTTTTTTTTTACTAATCGAATTTTATATAATTTTGCAAACCGCAATAATGTGAATAAAACGATTTGAAGAGTATTAGGTAATAAGTATTTATGGTTTAATTTGTAACTCGATTTATAATTTAATTCCTTTATACTTACAAGCTGAATTATTTTTTCATAGTATAAGCATGAAATAATGCTCATAGGTGTTATTTTAAAAATCAGGTCCTTCAAAAACAAATTAACGCTCACATCCTAATATAATACATAATTTACTATTGCGATATATGGTCGATACTTCATATGTATATATTTATAAGTGTACTTTATATGCACTTTATATGCACTTTCTCTATAATGATAGTGCACACAATTTGATCTGTCTAATGTAATTATTTAATATTTATATATTTTTTTTATTAAAGCTGATTTTAATATCTATTAGAGATAATATTTACTGGATATGCCTATTTTTAACAATTGGTATTTTGAAGCACTTTGTAAAATGTTTAGTATTAGGATTCTGAATCAGAAAATCAAATAGATATAGCTGATAGTAAAATTGGCTTTTTTTTGATAAGCATTTATCGGTAAATGATTATATAAATAAGTATATACTTTAAAAATATTGGATGTCACTTCTTTGGAAATAAATACATTATTTTATTTTATCTCAAATCAGATATTGAATCAATTCTAAAACCCTCAATTATAAAAATACTTTTAATATACAATAAAATAAATAGATTTTAAACTAGTAGGTAGTTTGTGTAAAGTTTGCAGGTTCTAAACTAGCAGGTGTTTGTAAGATCTAAACTACAAATCTAAACTAACAGTTGGGTTAGTTAAGTAGGCTCTAATATTTGAGACGAATTGAAGTAGAAGAGCTATAAACTAGCAAATAAAGTTGAGTTGGTTTGACCAATAGGTTGTAGAGTCGAGTCTTGGGCAGGATTTAACATAGATGGGCTGGGTTTTAATTAGGTAGGTTCTAAACAAGTAAGCAAAGATTCAAAATAGAGTAAATAAGTTTTGTGAATTTATAAATCATAATAAAAATTTGCACATTTCCATATTAGAGTTTTTATATATTAAATTGCGTTACATTTACTTAATGATTGCAGATTATTTTGTTCAGTTGACTCACAGATTATCAATTAAAATTTCTATTTTTCAAGCTGCTTATATTGCTTTTCTGCCTTCATATGCTCAATCTTCTTTTTTTTTTGCTTCTGAGCTTCTTGTTTTTGTATCTTCTTGGCTTCATGTGCTATTTGTTTTTGGGTGGCCATCTCATTTTTATACTGCTTTTTGTTGGCCACTCTTTTGGTCTCTTTCTCTGCTTCCTTTAATTGTTGTAAGAATCTTTTATTGATAAGAAGCTAGGAGAAGGATATAGTTTTTCTTTTTTTTCTCTTTGGCAGCATTAATTCAAATTGTTCTTCTTCAGCTTCTAGATCTTTAGTCATTTGCAAATTATTTCAAAAGAGATATTTAAATACTAACTTCAAAGAACTTGTACCAGGTTTTTTAAAAGTTTCAAGTTTTTCTTTCAATATTTTAACTTTTTTTTTTAGTAAAACAATTTTTGATACTAGTTCTTTGTTCGTAGAGTATAGCTGGGTGAGATATATATAACCTGGGTCCAACTCAGAAGCTTGTGAAGACAAAGTTGATTGTTCAGGAACTTGTAAAGTAATGATATGTTCTGTTGTTAATGAGAGATCCAGACAGTCAGAACCAATAGTATTTGGGTTGAATAGCCAAATTTCAGTAGTTTTAAAGGCTTTGTATATGGTGATAGATGTATAGATTGTAATATAGACTGGTCTTAACATTTTAGTGAATATATACTTATTCACAAGCTTACCCTTATTGTTAATTCAAAACTTTTTATATTCATTATTATATATTTTTTTAGATTAGCAAATGATAATTCAGCCAGCTATAAAACATGAGTAGTATGAGAGAGAAGTATATAAAGAAGTATACTATTCTCATAACAAAAG